TTGGGTGAATTGCTGTTTTCCACATGTATATTACTACAGCTAGCTGAATGTTGGATTTCCTGTGCAGATGCATTGTAAATATACTTTTTTGTAAGTACTACATTTGTATGTATACTTTTTACGTTCATAAGCAAAAAGTTTGGCTTAACTAGTTACCTAGCTAGGGAGCCAGCTAGCTAACTTCACCATGTTTGCTGACTTCTTTCCTAGCTAACACTGTCTAACACTAGGAAAATTATGCAAAACTAACAGACACAACGTTTTATAAACAATATACCAGAATGAGAGGAATTTATGGTGTGCATACGTTATTTACAAGACACCATATACTGAAGCTCTTTCTAAAATTGCTGATATGAGCACCCACTCACCTCACTAAAACTGTCAGTATGACAGTTGTATGATTACCTGAGTAAAAGCTGTAGAACTGTAATCCATCTGTAACAGTAAATACAGTGTTAGCCTACATTTTTACCAGTAGATTCTGAGTAAATTCACTTGTATTTATGTAGTACTAAGTTGCTTTGTATGAGCAAAGTATATACTAGAAAAGTACATGTTTATTATTGAAATGCTTAGAGTGTTGGAAAATAAAGTGCAACTCCAAAGTCTGTCAACCGTGCAGGATTTTCACAAAAACTGTCCATACGGAGAGGACAGAGATTCTTTTTCTCTTTTCTTTCATGTTTGTGTGTCGTCAGGTTGACATTTAAAGCCTTTTAGGACCAAACACAATTTGGCTGTCAGGCAGCTGATCTGAATTGCTGGAAGAGAGGAGAAGGAGGTGGAGGGAAGAGGTGAGGGAGGGAGAGGTGGAGAGTGAGAGAGAGTGAGAGAGAGGGATTGGAGGGAAGATGAGTATTTGGCTGACTGAGCATTGCACTTGTGTGGACAGCAGGGGAATGGCTCTCAAATCATTTCAGCGTCGTTTCCCTTCCCAGAGATTTCTCTCTCACTTATCCCCTCTTTCTCTCTCACTTCCTTTCCCCTTCTCTCTCTCTCTCTCTCTCTCTCTCTCTCTCTCTCTCTCACTCTCAGTAAGGAGCCTGTAATTGATTGTATTGTAATTGGCGAATGCCAGTAGAATGTGCTGGGCAGAAATGAAGCATAAACATGATTCAGGCACTATTAGCAGGATCAATGGCAGACAGGCACGCTGCCACACACGCAGACGTGTCACTCTTTTAGGACCATTTACACCAGACAGCCAAAGACTCTTTAAATGATTCTGTCTTTTTTTTCCCTCTCTTTCCAGCACATGTACAACCGCACACACATACCCCTTTTTCTTTAAACCTTATTCTACCATTTAAAAGTTTGTAATCACTGTTTTCAGTCATCAAACACAATTTTGTTGCAGGTACATATGTGCAAATGATTGGACTATGCTGGTAGAATAAGTAAGGTAAAACTGGCAACATTAGATTCCTGTATGTTCTAGATAAAGTTAAGGGTATTACTTTAGTGCATCGTAATGGGATTTTTCTGACTGGTGATTTCAATGTTCATGCTGATAAAGCCTCAAACAAAACAGTTACTGAATTTACGTAACTTTTAACCATGTTTGCTTTCATTCAGCAGAAAACTAGTCTGACACATATCCTTGGTCACACTTTACATTTAGTCCTGTCACGAGAATGTGTGTCTGCTTCATTCGTATGGCTTCTTTTAATAATGCTCTACATTACAAACCTCCTCTACATGTAAACTCATCAGTGCATGACATGGTCAGCACTTGTAACCTCTTAACAAGCCATGCTTTAGTACACAGTTCTATAACCTAAGAATAGCGCCATTAGTTTGCATTGAAGTCTATGTGGTTACTGAATAATAAGACTTAGTATGAAATAAACCTGGGGTGTTAAGGGGTTAACTGTTAACTAAGATCTGTTCTAGATAGTGTTGTGCCAGAAAAACAGCAAAGAGAAGGCACTGGTGACAAAAGTGAACATACAAACCAACTGAAATGGGAATCCTACAAAGCAGAAAGGCAGTGGAGAAAAACTAAACTAACTGTTCACTATGAAATTCTTAAAAAACATTTATACCAATGCAGTATGAACAGTGAGACAGACATACTTTTAAAACGTATTAGAGAACAGACACAACCCATGAGTTTTATTTTCAGTAACTGATCGCCTTTGAACCCCTTACATGGTCAGGGCCCAAAGTTTTATTTCACTCTTCTGTAACCTAAGAATAGCTCAACCAGTTTACACTGAAGTCCTTGTAGTTGCTGAATAATAAGCCAAAGGCCCAATCCCTTTTCTTATTTTTACCCCTACCCCTTGTTTTCGAGTGTCACTTTGCCCCTTGCAACTGAGTTACAAGGGGTAGTAGTTGAAATCTTCCCCTACAAAATGGGACCAAATGAAAAAGAACATTACTTCATTAACAGCTACCAGCGCTGCTCTGTAGGCGTCCCTGCCAGTCTGCAGTGATAGCAGAGGAGGGTAAAGTTCAGCTCCTCACTGCTGGGCTTTAGTTACATTTAGGGAATCATATGCCTTCAAAGAGGAGGGGTGAGATAATTAATTATTATTGCCCACCCCTAATTCTTCAGTGATATGAAGCTGAAGTCAGATATTTGTTAGCTTCTTGTTCAAATTTTCCCTTCCACCTTAATATATATGTGACAAAATATGACTGCTGTACCATTTAAGGTAGAACGTGAAATTTAGCTAGCTAGCTACCAAGACTATGCTTGTTTTGAAGAAAGTGACCATACTATATTGAACCAACATTAAACTAAGATAATTCAATGGTTATCGTAATTTTTTAACTGAGAAAATTCTCACATTTGTGGGTTTCTTTGGTCGCTTATGCAGCCGTCTTGCTGGTTTTTCTTTTTTTCTCACGTCACTCTGTTTGGAGTGTGCCTCTGAAAAACCTCCATTTGGAGGGTCATGTAGCCCTAACACTTCAGCCTACCCCTGTATGTCAACAAAAATTGGGACAGCCTACCCCTAGACATGAATATGCAAAACGGAGGAGTAGGGCTAAGTGGTAGGGGCAAGGGATGAAATGGGATTCGGCTTTAATATGTAATAAGATTGTGATTATAAGGGGTTAAATCCTTGATTATCTCACTGAGGCTTCAATATCAAAATGTAATGGTTTTGCATTATTTTTTAATACAAAATCATTAATATTTGGTCACCATTTATAGCTCCAAAGGCACCAATAGTAGACCCTATTTTAATTCAATAGCACAACACTATGAATTGTTTTAAAAAGATTAATGAGACAGAAAGTTGTCCTTTACCGGTGTTTTACATCCTATTCCAACAGCATTTTCTTAAGAAGTATTTCACAGCCTTTGTCTACATGTGTGTTATTCATCGTGAGTTGTTCTTTGGAAACAGACACTTTCCACACACACTTAAAACAGCAGTTGTTAGACCATCATTGAAGAAACAACCTTACCTCAGTTTTTAGCAATCACAGACGAATCTCTAACCTCCCATTTTCGAGTAAAATAATTGAAAAAAGTCTCCTCAAAACTTAACGATTTCTTAAGTGAACACCATATCCATAATAAATTCCAGTCTGGCTTTAAAGCTTTTCTCAGCACTGAAACGGCATTAGTGGAAGTAGTGAATGATCTGAGAGTAAGCGCTGATGCAGGTGATGTCTCTGTACTTATGCTTCTGGATTTAACCACTGAATTTGATACTATAGACCACAGAATACTTCTAAATCAGCTTAAAAACCTGGTTGGTCTTTCTGGAACTGTGTTATACTGCTTTTCTACATGTTCAACTGGAAGACAGTATTTTGTAAGTATAGGTGAGCATTTCTCAAATAAGCATGATATTCTCCATGGTGTACCACAAGGCTCTGTATTTAGGTCACATTTACTTGCCTATACAGTCTAGTGCAGGCATGTCAAAATGGGGACCTTCCAGGCCAAAGTGCTGCGGATATTAGTATTTACCCTCATCTAACACTCTGAATTCAGTTCATGAAGGACTTGCTAATTAGCTGATGAGCTGAATCAGGTGTGTTTAATGAGGCAGTGTGCTGAAGTCTGCAGTGTTTCGGCCCATGAGAACCAGACCCTGGCATATGTGATCTAGGGCTTGAAAACTTGACTCACTGAAAACAACAGAGACTTCAACCTTTCATGATTTCTTGAATGGAATATACAGTGACATATACAGCATATGTGAACATGGCAAGGAGAGTGCAGGTGTGTTTACTTGGACTCTTTAAAAGCACTAAAACACGCTAAACATATGGACCACCTATCACAGGTTACTAGCTCAGTGCTGAAAAGAGTAGCTCAACCAAATATGCTCATATGGCTACGAATGAATGGGAGAAACATTTGTACAATGCTAATAAGTAGCTTAGACTTTCATTTCTGACTAAACTATTCCTTGAATGTACATAGTATATTATAGTGGCAATGATTTATGATAATTTTGTCCAAAACCTGTTGATACATTGTAAGAACAAAAAGATTCTACTTTTTTGTTATACATGGGTGTTAAGCAAGAAAAGCCAGCTTCAAGTGGCTGCAAAAGCTGTTGTCTCACTCCTTTAAATGTCAGCTTTCTTCTTTCTGTTTCTTTAATATTACACAGAAATAATGGGCCTACTTTTATTTTCAGAATCCATTGTTCCAGGACCTGTTAGAAAAGACGTCCAGTTTTTTTGGTTTTCCCAAAAGCTTTGCAGCACAAAGTACCTTTTAAACTTGATCAAGTACTTTACTAACTTGATCTTAAGAACATTCATTAAAGAGCTAATGTTTCCCAAAATGTTTCTTAACTAAAGGTAGTATGTAACATCATAAATTAGTCACTAACACAACCTATTTGTTATTCACAAAGTGCTTCAATTGAATTTTTTTCATTTTACAGTGCTATGAATGAGATGGTTGACTCTTCCTCCAGTAATAGTGTCATTTCTGTGCATGTTCCTGCTGATGCAGGCTTGCTGTGGGTCTGTTCACGTGTCTGATTCTTCTTCTGTGTATGTGTGTTTGTGAACAGGGCTTTGAGGTGCGAAAGATCAGAGCGATCGATCAAGACCTGGGTCGACCTCGCGGAATCGGGTATACCATCGTATCAGGTCAGTGGGATCACTGAGTCTCTTCCCTTTTTTGCAAGACACAGAGGCTCTTCTGGCACTGATCACTGGGTTTCCTGTGCTAATGTTCTTCCACCAGTCCTGAAACTGAAATTTTGCCCGTTGTATCCTGAAGTGGTTTATTCATTCAGCTTCCGACCCCACAGTTCCTCAAGTGAGGAAGTGGAGGTTCAACGCAGCAAATCATAATCCACCTGAATTCTTGAAAGATAATCCTCAAATTTTAAGAGAGTTCTGCAAGAATTAGAGCTGTCCATGCTCTGCCCACAAATTCATTCTTTTGTGGCAACTTTTGCAACGTTGGACAAACTGTAAATTTCATTTGTCTTGCATGATGTAAAGCGTTCTGCAGCCAACTCATGTGAAAGTCAGCCATCACAACCACAGTGTAATGATTTCACAATGTGATATGTTTTGTTGTTTTTGCATCACAGTATGATCCATTTACAGAATTAGAAAATTAATTCTAACAACTTTTTTTTCCCGTAATTCTCACTTTTGCCCTGAAAAGACAACAGTGCTTTCAGAAGGGATACATCTCATTTTCTCATTTAAGTAATTCTTTGATTTAAGTTTAGTTTGAATTAATTTAATTTAATTTTCTCATAACTAAGTCATTTTCTCAGAAGAATGAAAGTTCATGTTGCAAATGTGGCTCATAAAACAAAACATAAACAAAAAACAATGTAGACATGGAGTCTACATCTAGACTACATCTCAAACTCAGGATTGCAAGTATATTTATCATCATCTGATTATGTGTTTCTATATGATTTGTGACCTATACCTTCTAAATGAAATAAGTGTGAGGCAAAGTTTTTATAGTAACTGAAACTTTCACTAAAATTAAAACTAGCATTGAAAAAAATGTGATTGCTAACTGTAATGAAAATAAAAAAAAAAAACAAATTTTAACACAAAAACTAAAAACAAACTATAATGTCCACTGCAAAACCATTTATATGAAATACAATTACTGAGCCTCTGGAGCTGAGCTGAGCTCAGTCTACTGCTGTGTTAATTTTACTCTACCCTTATCAAACCCCTGTTATCACTGTGTTCATCCTAATACTAAGCACTGAAAAAACAAATTCAATGTTTCTATATATGTTTCTCTATCTTTGTGATAATACAGTAAAAAAAAAGGTTTCGTGAATCTGTAGAGTCGCTTTTCCATTCCATCTTATCGCGAGATTGTATGTTGCTCACGTCTGGAGTTATGAGGCTGTGAAGAGGGGCTGAGATACACGCTATCAACCGCTCACCATGTGTTATCAGTGGATTCATGTGTCCATCTACATTTTGTGTGACACTGACAATTGGGCACTGAGAAAATCACTAAGGACTGACCCATCATCGCGGAAACCCTTCATTCTTCAATCAGTCGACATCGAAGACACATGTTAAATGATGTGCAAAAAGGTTACAGCCACTGAAGTTGTTGCAGTGGTTTTGGAAAGTAGTGATGATGATAGCAAAGTATTTTGACATGGATATCATGTTATATGCAAGCGCCTGTAAAGATGAATTTAAGAAGATTTGCAAAAATCGAGAAAATGCCCTCAAACCCCAAAAGGTTAATCTTAACTGAAACTAAACTGAAATCATAAACCAAAAGGAAAAAATTAAATAAAAATAAAAACTAATAATAATTTAAAAACTATAATTAACCCTGGTGTAAGACTTAATCACTCCTAGCAGTGTGCTAGTGCAGAATTCAGGACTTTCTCAGGGCTTTTTAGTGCAAATCTGAAGCTGTTAATGTCCTGATGTGTTATTGTAACTGTATTTGATTCACTCTCATGACCCCCTTATGGATAAAAAATGAATTCGTACCTTGTCACAACTTTGTGAAACAAGTAATAGAAGATGATTAAATAGTTAAGAAAGTGATCTTCCTGATCAACCATATGCAAAGTTGGTGGTTTTTCATTTTGTGAGTTTCCTGAGCCATGGCAACAGGCAAGTGTTAGTTTGCTAAAGTTTGTAATTGCTAAACACTTTAACATCACATTCAACAGCAGTGTAAGTACTGGTGATGTATTCTCTGTTACAGATAAATTACAGTAGCGCAGTTAATGTTAAGACATATGTATATCAACTAGGGTTGGGCGATGTCTACCTAACTGCCATATGACGATGTCTACATCATGGTCGATGATGACACTGGGGGGATGTTGTTAGCGTTAAGGCCCATTCACACCAATTACGAATTTTTATTCAGACAAAAAAAAGCATGTGATTATTAATGTAGTGTTCGAAGCATTTTTCTGTCTAAACACTCTGAATTTGTTTTTTTCTTTTAAGCACTGCCGCTAAACAGTGCATTCACTGGGTACATCACATTCTACAAAAAAGACAACAGCACAGGGAGTCCTACTGCCTCTTACCAAAGCTAGCTGAAGCTGCATAACAAGCTACTCTGCAGGTATTTCTGTATGTCAGTAGGGGATTCAAAGCTCTGCTTCTGCTTGTTGTTCCTCTCATTAAAAAGGAGTGAATGAACTCTGGTTATATACAGTTACTGTCACATACTCACTGTCATTCGTAGCCTTTCAGCTTTTGTATTTTCTTTAACCTCTGCATTTTTTACTAAGCGTTTGCTTGTTGTATAAGCTTTTGTGCTCTGCTACAAGCAAGATTCGCTGTTCTGCCACGTGACAACAGAGCTCTGACTGGTCAGCTTGATTTTTACCCGTTCATACAATGCAGAAAAAAGGGCGTCTAGTAGTTTTGGACTTGGTGTGTATTTGATTTGCTTTTTTTCATCTATAAATTTGGGCTTGGTGGACTTTAGTCTTACAAAAGTATTGTAAATACTGAACACTCCCTTAAAATACATATTCATCGGTTGAGATGTCAAAGTAAGTGATAAGTAATACATATAGTTTTCTAGTAATAATTAGGAATAATTATTACACTGCATCTGCTCAGAAAATGCCAACTGTCCTAGCATTTAGCTAGCTGTGGTAGCATGCTTGTGTTGTGACATGCTAACCTAACCAAATTTCTGGCTTTAAACTGTTCCATAATGCGTTTCCTCTTCATACAGACAGAAAAGTATTGTAAGAAAAACAACTGTTCACCTATTACGTGTGTAATTACATAAGAGAAAATATACAACTATCAAGCTACAGTTGTGTAAGTACATGAGTAAAAGCTAAAGTTGATACACAAGTGTATTTACATAAGCTGTACTACTGTCATCCATCTGTGACAGTGAATACATCAGCAGCAGGTACATTGTTGTTTCATGTATTGTAATGCGTAACTACACAGTTATTAGAGATACTTAATATAAAGTGGGTCCAATGATCACTGCTTTAAAACAGTTTATAATCCTTTCTTCCTTATGCTACTTCCAATTCTAAAATGCAGTTCTTACTGGACTTGTATGACTTTTTTTTTTCCAAATTGATTTAAGAATAGAAAGAATGCTCATTTTTAGGCATTTTTTTCCTAATCTGTCACATCATTCCATTCAGTTACTATGTACAGTAATTTTGGCGGCTCGTATTATAAGTGAATTTTAAGCCAACAGATTTTACTGTTCTGTCCTAAGCAGAGGGAAATGCATTGAAATCACTGTCCATAATAACTGATCATATGCTGCAGGTGTGGCAGATAGAGAATAGACTGAAAACGCTGGAGTATTCCTTTAAGGTGGTTCGGCCCTGACAAATGTTGAATTATACTACAGAAATATTCTGATACAATCTGTAAAGTCTGTATGAATGATTAATCTTTGACCCCTTGGAGAAATGAAGGCTGCGTTGGTAGAAGTTATGGCTTCGGGATATCACTTTCCTTTCTCATTATCTAAATCTGACCTGCCTAGCGCTGCTCCTGGAGACTTACCTCTCTGAGAAGTTCAGTTCTAAGCGTATCACCAGCTTTGTTGATTAAGAGAGTCAGGTGTGTTAGATTAAACCGTGAAGGATGAAATGAGGGCAGGATGGATCTAGACCAGACAGACACTAGTGTACTGGTTGACCTGCATTTCATTCATTCCTATACTTCTGTCGGCATTTACTCTCTCTGTTAATTCACACTGGCCCTAATTTATCATTATACAACGGTTAGTTCCGACGGCACAATCCGATTGGTTGAGAAGCGTTCTAGCTGTTTTCACACAAGCTGTATTATAACGTTGAGTACTGGTTGCTAAGTAAAGACTACTTTACAGTTAACTGTTATGCTGCGTTGACATGTTGATGTTGGAAACAAGACTTGCTCCATGCTTCATAGCAGTATGTGACCGACGATGGCACAAAGTCACGCATACATTGCCATTGTGTCCACGTTGGCAGTGAAAATGAATGATTATTAGAGGAGAACTTTACAACTGTTGATTGTTTATTTAACCTTTTAAATGGCCAGGATGTAAAGTTTGATTACACACTTCTATAACCTAAGAATAGCTCAGCCAGTTTGCATTGAAGTCCATGCAGTTACTGAATAATAAGACATAGTATGCAATAAGCCTGGGATTTTAAGGGGTTAAGGTGGAAAAAGACAACAATACACTTTGTACTCTTATTTTTTTGTATAATACTGGATTCATCTGGAATTCAGCAATGAGAGGTTTGGGAACTATGGTTCCCCAAAAATCAACATCCTGTTCATTTCACTTGCACAGTCAATGGCAAAAGTTAGGAAAATTGAACGTTCTGCTTACCCCCATGGTATGAAGAATGTTGCCACTGGTAGTGGCTGAATTTTCCACCATGGCTCCACTAAAAACAATGGAATATTCAGTTTACCGTCACTCTTCTATCACCAGCATGAAAACAAAGCATTATTACGTTCCTATTTTGCTACATACAAAAACAAAATGACATTCCTTGTATTTTTGACCTTCTCTCCTCAATTTCTCATGAAATAAACATCCAGAAATGATAAGCTCACATTTTCACAGGCGTAAAAGACAGAAAACAAACACTGTATTATTATACAGTGATAAGCAACACAACAGCACACAG